GGCTGCCTTTCGGCCTGGGCGGTTGTCTTTCCCTGTAGCTGTGCTAAGGCAGCGGGAAGGAAACTCGAAAGCCCTGGTTCCTGCAGCCAAGGCACTGAAAACCTGCTCCAACACACCGGGGGTTTGCGTCTTTTTGTCAGCTCCGGTCGGGATTTTTCTGGTTTGGGAGGTAGTGTCTTTGATAAGTTTTATTTCAGCAACTGTGATAGTTATTTTCTCCTTCAAAACACATTGTTTCATATGCTTCAAAGCAGGCTATAGGGTTTATACTTTTTTATTTTTCTGTCATTAAAAATAGCTTGTTTTTAACGCTGTACTTGAGGTAGTTTTTTATCAGAAAGGTTTTAATTTGACTTTTTGGTTGAGCTAATACTACATCTGCTTTTCTTTTTCTCAGGAATAGATTTTAAGAATATGACCTTAGTTCAGGTTCTCTTTTGCTTTCAATTTTTTTTTTGACGTTTATCTAATCTCCCGTGAGAAATCAGCTATTGCATATTTCTCTCATTATGCTGAAGCGGTAGGATTTTTTAAGCAATCTAGGCAGACACAAAGATAATCAACACCTTTATGTGTGAAGACAGGTGCAGATACAGGCTTGCATTGTGCAAGAGGGGGGTGGGAGGAATCTTAAATGCACCATAATACAGAAAATTTAAACAAAGGCTGCTGTAAAAAGATGCTGTTGTGTGATTATGAAACCATAGCTTAAAAATGTCCACCCACGCTGAACAAGTAATTGAACACAGCTCTCGCATGGCAGAACAGCAGGAGAAGGCTTTTCTTTAGGAGGGGACCACCTTAGTTGCTGCTGAATTCTTTTGATATGTACATAGATATGAATCTGCTTTTACTGCCAAAAAATAAGTACTTGGTACAGAACTAAAGTTACCCGGTGATGTTTTGTTGCCTAGTATAATACAGACCTTGACAAAACTAGAACTCAAAAGTAAAAAAAAAAAATGGCAGTGAAAACCTAGTTTTAGATGGAATCTTACAGGCAGGAGTGGAGATTTGTAAGAAGCAGTCATAAAATTTTGCAGATGCAGTGTTTCTGCGAAGATTTACATGAACGCTCAGGCACATGCCCAAATTACCGCATGTCTGCGGAGCTGCGTTAGTTAAACCTATGGCAAACGCACTTTGAAACATGTTATCTTAGGCTAGAATAGTTTACCTTTGTGGTGGTTTATAGCAGGCTTAGCGAGTTACTGTGGCTCAGCTAACCCTTCAGAAGTTGTTGAAACAAAGTAAGCTCAGTACAGGTACAGATACTTCTTTTCCATGATACCTCATGTGAAATGCAAGTCCTTATCAAAGAGAAGAGTCTGTCTTATAATGCCATATAACTTGTTCTTGGAATGTTCCTGAATATTTTTGCAAGGATAGAATGTTATATCTATCTTTTGGACTGTCATTCAACGATAGCAGAACTTAAGTTTTTGTCACCAAGTATTTCTTGGCTTTCAGCTCTTTCTGTGTTTATAAATTTGAGGTTGCACCTTGATTCAAGCTCAGGTAAGGTATTGGCCTTAGTCTTATTAGACCTCAGTCTTCTCTTTCCCCCTAGGAACCTACTCCTCACCTATGCTCATGAATGCTGAGCAGGGCTGACAAACTTCCTTTCCACTTTTAAAAATTCTTCTCTCTCGTGGTCTAAGCATCAGACTTCATTCTCTTTGCTGATATCTATAGTCATCTATTCAATTTCCATAAACTGTCCCATACACCTTTCACTGCTTTGCTGATACCAAAAATTATGGCTTACAAAAACTCTCTAGGACTCATGTTGGACTTTTAGAAAGCAGGCATTCTTTATTACGGAACCAGAGCCGTGGGGAATAGTTTCACCTAGCATGCCCACTCACAGTAGAGTACATACAGTTTATGTAGAACAAAGATGTGCATATTCATCCTATTTCCTGGAAAAGGCTGCCTTATAATGAGTTCTCCTCCCAGTTGCATGTGGTCATTAATTTGAGACAGTGGTCTTCAGCGGTCCATGGTGGTTGTATTCATTTCTTCCTGTCGAATCCAAGTTCCTTTGCCCCACATATGATAAGGACATATGTGCAAAGCACATGTTAGTTTAGAGAGATGGCAGGAAATTTGGCATCGGGAGGTTTTCATTATCCAGGTATTTCAGAAATTCCATGGCTATCAGTGGCCTTTTGGTCAAGGTCTGCTCATCCATCACTGTCAAAAGAGGCTTTTGTCAAATTTCACTCAATCCAAGTCTCCCAAATCAAGTCCATGTTTTCTTACTATGACTGGCAGACGTAAGTTATTAATCAAACTCTTCAAAGATATGTCTTAAATTCTGTATCATGCTTTCTACTTTTGCTTTTATTTGCTATGATTTTCCACTTCTATTAGCCAAATATATGTCAAGGTTATACCTATAAAAACATTAAGAGAAACGGACAAAGATGAACAATGGCTACTTCCCTGAAAAGAGTATGAAATTCCTTCCAACAGTTGGGTTCAGACTGTAAAGAGAGAATGTGACAAAAAGTCTAGGTGGTAAAACTCGCTGTCTGGAAACTCTTGCCTAGATTTTTAGTTTGTTGAATATGTGTTTTGCACATTCCCATTTTAAAAGCCTAATTTATCTTTAAACTGTTGTTTTGGTAAAATTCTTCAAAGGATCTGAGCTAAGTGTTGACTGACTGACACCAGTTGAGGGCTGGGGTTTGAGCCATGCAGAGAGTACTTCTGCCAAATGTCCACCAAGATGGATTGCCACATCTAGCCTGGATTTTAACAAGCACTACAACTTCCAACATAGTGTAAAACCCTAATCTACACATAGACTATGAAGTGTAAAATTATTTTTAAATAATTTTGTTGACTTTCTCTGAACAGTCTGAGGCTGGTCACTGCCCAATATCAGATACCAGACTAAATGGAGCAATGATCTGATTTTCTGTGGTATTAATTTTTTTCCCTTTAATATTAATTCAGCCATATTTAATGATAAGGATTTTCAAAGTAAAGGAAAATAATTCCTCATCTGTGTAAAAGGCAAGGATGATGTCTTCTTAAAACAGAGCTTCTTGTTTTCTTTGATCTGCTTTACTTAGGCTGGGGTTGGCGGGTTGCTACTACACATTTATTTTAAGCATTTTTATCATGGTTTTTTTTTTTAAACTATGTATTTTTAAAATTTACTTTGGTATTGAAATGAAATTCGGAGCTTCCACACCCCCTTACTTTCTAACACTCCCCGCTGAATTGGGAGGATAGGTACAGCTGGGAAGGATTCCGAGATAAAAACCGAATAACAACAAAATTGTTATTAAGCAGCTGTTCTTTATTACGGCTGGGCTAGCACTGGGGATTCTCCTCCTCCGTAAGTGCTGCAACGAGTTAGCAAAACACACCAATTAATATATAGGAACAACATACATATTCATTAGTTTTCCTGGAAAAGGCAGTCTTATGCTAGTGGATTCCCAGCATTCCTTTACATAGTCCAAGCATGCATAGTAAAATTAGGGTTAGGGTCTTTTCCCTCTGGTGGTTCTGCATAGCCTTCCTCACACTGTCTGCTAGTTTAACTTTGGGTTTCCTTTGGCCATATATGGTTCTGGAATGAGCTCATCCATCCTTCAGCCCTGGGATGTCATTTTAAACCATCTCCCAGGTGTACTTGACACTGGTGTCCTCTTTGTCCTCTTTGGCACTTATCTTAATGTCTTGAGCCAGTGTTAGCAAGGATGCATGAAGAAAGCTTAACAGGCCATCCTCAAGGCCTATTTGACCTCACCAGGCAAGAAGTTACATATAAAACTGCAAATGAAGCTAGGAAAAGAATACAAGTGAGGCTTCTATATAACACAATAAAAGTAAAAGAATACTGGTAAATCTTACATATATCGACTTGGGATGACCAAGGATATCAATCCTTTCAGTATGGCACTGGAACTAAATGCACGCCAAAAAGAAAAACAATTTAAAAATATAGTTATTTTTCTTAGAGAAGAGTCCTATCTTACAAGAAGGCAAACTTATTACGGGCATTCTGCTTACTTTCTCATTATCTAAAACTGAATTTGTGTTGTACTCAAGGTTTTGTAAATTTTATAATAAAAGCTCTACTTGAGTTAACCATAAAAACATCCGTAATATATGGGATATTAGCTTAACCCCCAGACTTAAGGGATAGTCCAAAGGTTGTTCTTTCACTTTTTAGTCTATTGCCGTAACTACCTTCTTAAGATTAAAAAATTGCAACTTAAATTATCATTTTAAGTGTTTAATTATTTAAACATCCAAAAAGCTTAGCAGCTGTGTTATAACTGAAACATGATTTTATAGTAACCGAGGAAGAAGTTTAAAATAGCTTTTAAAACTGACAGGGTTATTTTTGAAATGCATGGACCAAGAATTTTCTCAAGAAAATATTACTTTACTTTCATATAATCAAGTTTTCATTTTTAAAAGGTTACTTGAAGTACTTTGCAGTTTGAATCTTTTTGTATATCATATTAGAAGCAAATCTTTCCTAAGTGGTTTTTTTTAACTATTATTTGAAGGCTGTGCTACTGCTTTCACAGGTTTATGTGTTGTCCAAAAAGTGGAGCTGTTGCCCGATGTGTAATCAACCAGTTCTGACACACTCAGGAGAGAGA